GTTTAGCACAGTGCCTGCTGTGTCACAAGTGCTCAACCCAAGTCTGTCTCTGGTTTCTCCAGGAGAAAAAGAGAAAGGGTTTCAGGGCTGTATTCATCCTAATCTCACTTCCGTCACCAGCTGATGTGTTGTCTTTTTATATGCCTTACCATCTCCTCGATTACCCCGGCCAGCAGAAATCTTGCCCTCTTTTGAATTGCTGTGGCAATGTGTATGGACCTTAGCTCTTGTCATAAATATAGTTATCTTTTCTCATGTTCAGAAGGCATGTATTTGTTGGACTGAGTAGAAAATTCTCTGCTTGCTGGCTGTGTAGCCCTGGATAAGTTGCTATATTACTTTTCTAGAACTGCCATAACAGAATACCAAAGATTGGGTGACTTAAACCACATAAATTTTTTTTTCTCGCATTTCTGGAGGCTGGAAGTCCAAAATGAAGGTGTCAACAGGGTTGCTTTCTTCCGACGCCTCTCTCCTTGGCTTGAAGATGGCCACCTTCTCTCTGGTCCTCCCCATGGTCTTTGCTCTTACACATGTGTTTGTATCTCCGTTTCTTCTTGTTATAAGGATACTGGTCACACTGGGTTAGGGCCTCGTTTTACCTTGATTACATCTTTGAAGGCCCTACCTCCAAATAGTCACATTCTGAGGTACTGAGGTTTAGTACTTCAGTACATGAATTTTGGTGGCGCACAGTTCAGCCCGTAACAGTTGCTTTAGTCTTTCTATGCCTCAACTTCCTCTTATGTAAAATCTGGAAAAATACCTCTTGAGTGGACTGAAGAGATATATATATCTGCAAAGCAATATCCTGGTAGCCCATAATGGATGCTTAATAAGTATTTATTACCCCTATGCCTTTTCAAGCTCCTTGAAAACAAGAATGCTTTCTCACTCATCTTATATCCTTGCAGTTTTTAGGACAAACTTTGAACATGATTTCTTATAACTATTTGGTGAATAAACGAATGAATGATCAGGTAGCAGAAGTGAGTCTGCAATAGGTGTATGCATTTCTCTGTAGATGGAACAAGATACTGGGTAGTAACTAAGATCTCAGTAACAAAGAATATTCCAGGAAGCCTGTAGAGAAGTCAGTGTCACTGCTGTAAATATAATATGCCACACAGAGCCAGTTCTAATATGGACAATCTTCCCCTGTCCTGCTTGCCTCGGACTCCACAAAGTCGTAGGGAAATGATTTGTGACAAAATTGCGCACACAAAGCAAACAGTATCTTCACACAGCCAGAGCTCTCAAGTGATGAGGGACACAAAGACATTGTGCACAATAGGTGTTCCTGTCCGTGGATTTGGCCGTCTTTGATCTCTGCAAAGGAGGGACCTGGGTAAGGTACTGTGAATGGATAATAGACCAGGAGCCAGAAGAGCAGCAGGCAGTGTGCTGCTCAGTGATCAAGTCATGGTGATGCCCAGACACGGTGCATCTGATGATAAGCATCTCCTCTTGGTGCCTTGGAGTCTTATTTCCTTCCAGCTCGACGCCAAAGGACCCATTCATCTTCGGCACCTCTACAACATGCCACTTTCAGTCTGTAGGTTCTTTCTTTCTGAGCCCACTAAAGGTAACGAGTACATCATGATTTTTTTCCTAGTATCCCTACACTCTTTCTTCCCACTGCTCTGTTCCCTGCAGTTCTCTGGAGTGAATTTGACTTTTGCATCACCCTTAGTGATTAGAATTCACTTCTCTGTGTTAAAAGAATTGGTACCTGTTGATTGGCTTGGAGTTAGGGAGTTGAATATAAGTTCTTATTGTATTCAGTGTTATCTTTTACAGATCTTAGTACAGGTATGAAGTTATAAGTGAGACAGCAATTCTATACCTAAGAATGGATATGGATAAAAAGTTTGTTATGAAATCAGATGTAAAACATGTGGACGTTACTCTTTGAAAGAACATGGAAAACTAGAATAAGAAATCACAGTTTGAAATAAGCCTATTAAGCAGCCGCTTGAAATTGAAAGGGCTCCTGGAGATGATGTCGTGAAGTGAAATGATTCTCAACTCTCACTGCGCATTTTCATCGCGTAGGAAAAATTTTTCGAAGGGCAGATTCAGAAATTCTTATTTATTTTGTCTGGAGCAGGGCCTAGAAGTCACAACTTTTTAAAAGATCTGCAGTCGATTGTAACATGCAGCCAGGGAGGCGAACCATCACTTTAAGAGCTAGAGGAAACGAAACCAACCTGCTAAGAGTCGCTATGTTTTGAGCACTGTGCTGGCTGCAGTACTGTCACCATTTCTTTGATCCTCAGAGTAAGTGAGATGGTTTGACAAATCGGGGCTGAGCTCTGATTTTGTGTGTTATAGTGAGCTGCCTCCTGACCTGCTGGAGGCAGTACTTGCTGAGCATACACTGCATCCCTGTTCTGCTCTTTAACAGGATGGATGTGCATGGACTGCTTTCCATTCTACCCTTGGTAGACAAGGTCTTTACCCACTTTTGAGCTTTTGAAAACCAGCCTCAGGCGAATTCCACCTCAGCAAATCTTTCTGAGTAACTCAGCCCCCATAAAGCGATTTTGTCATTTTTCATTTTTATTCGTTTTTGTAACTGGAGAGTGCAGGTCCAGAAGCACAAACGTAATCCTTACTGTGTCCTTAGCACTGTTACTAGGTCAGGTCCATTTTATCTCGTCATCCTGCCACCTTTGAACAACTCCCTCTTGTCATGTGGAAAGCTGCTGGTGCAAACCTACAAAATACTCAAGGGCTGATGACAGGCAGGAGGGGGTCTTCCTGCCTATCTGCAGGTTGCAGCAGCCTGGGAGCAAAGCCTGGCTCTTTTAGGCCCTAGAGGAGTAGAGCAGAATGTCTGTGTGTGGATCAGAACACAGCGGCCCCTGGGTGTGTCATCTCAAGCTCCCTTTCCCACTTTAGAAGGGCCTTTCTTGAACCTTTTAATGAATCCAACCCAGGCTTTCTTTTCCAAGATTGTTTGGTCCACCTCCTTAAAGTCACCCAAGATGGGGGATGGGCAAAACATGGTAGAAGCAGGTAAGGAGAGGTAGCCTGGATGGCATTCTAGACAGAAGGGAATACTACTGCCTTCTAAACAGTTTTTTGTTTGTTTGTTTTTTAGTTTTATTGGGGAGTAGCATGTTTTTCCAAGATCCATCAGCTCCCAAGACCCATCAGCTCCAAGTAGTTGTTTCAACCTAGTTGTTTAGGGCTTTTCTCCAGGACCCATCGGCTCCAAGTAGTTTTTCAGTCTAGTTGTGGAGTGTGCAACTCAGTGGCCCATGTGGGGATCGAACCAACAACCTTGGTGTTATGAGCACTGTGCCTTAACCAACTGAGCTAATCAGCCGCCCCCTAAACAGTTTTAGTGAGTGGAGTGAGGGGAAAATCTCAATCTGTTTTTAAGAACAAGTCTATCTTGACTAAAGTATCAAATGGGTTAAAATGGAAAAAATTTGATTTAGAGAGTGGATGAACTTTTTTGGGGGGGGTTAGCATTGCTATGTATATTAGATAAGTTATGCAGAAGTATTTATTTTTCCTTACAGAAGCAACACATGATCTATATAGAACAAATTTTTAAAAATACAGCAGAAAATAAAATAAACCCCTTGTAACGCTACCACCTCAAAAGCGCTCCACCAGTGTATCTCTTCCACATGATGTTAAGGGACAGTGGGGGGGAAAGGTGTACATACATTTAAACATATGAGAGTTTTTACTTCACAGTATATATTGAACATTTTCCACAGTATTTGTGTTAGCTTAGAATCTCATTGCACAAACATACTCCAATTCATTTAATCCATTCCTTACCATTGGATATTTATGTTTCTCATTTTTATTTCCAGGTATTATAAACTATTTCAAAGACCATCTGTGTACCTGGTTTTGATTAGCACAGGCCATTTTGTGAGGGCGCATACATTAGTTAATAGGATCAAAGGATCTAGCAAGAAGTAGTTTGGTGTGATTTTTGACCCACATTGTGCCTGTTGCCATGATGGCATCTACTAAGCTGTAAAATGTCATTACTTACGTCTGTGGTCTAGTTTGGTGGGGTCACTACATCGTAAAGATTCTGTGTCAACTTTAGTTTGAATGATATAAAAATTTTAATATATTTGTGACAAGGAATAACAAGTTGAAGTACAGTAAGAAAGAATGTAATTGCTTATGATAAATATAGGCTTAGCTTCAAAATAGCTAGCTTAAAATTCCCTTATAGTGCACTTTAAAGATTTCCACTGATGATCTTGGAGGTATGGCACCCAGCCATTGCTGGAATGAAATAACACACGTTGTTCAAAGTTGGGGCCGTAATTGATTTAATGCATATTTTTACTACTTTGACATTTATCTTATATGAAAAGAGTAATTCTATACACAGGTAATACATAAATAAAATGATAATAATATGTAACTTCAGAAAATGGTGTTTGATGATCGACCTGATTTTTTAAGAGAAATAAAAATAGCTCTCACCTAAGGTTACATGTTTTCTGGCAATTTTGAATCATTGACAGAATCACAAAATCCATCATAGGCGAACCTCTGTCTTTCCCGTGCCCTCCTATTCTGACAAGAAGATCTGTATCTCTTTACTTGGTTTCTGTTTGCTTTTCATTTTATTGCTGCCATGTATCCTCAGCTTTGAGCCCTGGGGTGGCAGTTGATGGTGCCTCATGAAATTTTAGTGTGAGGACATTGGTAAGGCCAACAGAAGTCTCTCTGCTTTTGGTAAAGTCTTTGCCAAAAGTCTTTGGTTTTTGCCTTCTTTCAACCTCTGCATAAAGGACATAGGGTCTCTTTTACCCAAGGTCTGCTAGGCAGTGACTGTATTTTGATTCGAACTCGTAATGTCTGTTTTCATTGATGGGGCAAGGATTGAAACTACAGCCTCTTGAGGATACAATATTCTGAGCTCCGTTGAGGATAAGGACTCATTTCTTCCTGAACCCAACCTTACCATTACCCTGCTTTGATACGAAATCTTTTCTTTTTCTCCCTCGTAGGCAGGAGGTTCCCAGGTGATTTTCACAAATCCTTTGGAAATCGTCAAGATCCGGTTGCAAGTGGCTGGGGAAATCACCACTGGTCCCCGAGTCAGTGCTCTGTCTGTCGTAAGGGACCTGGGGTTCTTTGGGATCTACAAGGTAACTTTCCTATGGGTCATTTATTTCAGTGTATGCTCATCATTCAGTGTATACCTAAACTGGTAACTGCTCATCAACATGAAATCAGTTCTTCGCGTTTCTACACCTGGAGTAGGCGCCCTGCTCCTAGTAGAAGCCCCTAGAGTATCTTCATGCCAGTTAGAAGGAGGTACCCCTTTCCGCTACCTGCCAAAAAAACTGGCCTTAGAAATCCACAAATCAAGGATAACTGTGAGGTGAATGGCGCCCTCTGGCCTTTTTCTGTGCACAGCTCTTTGCAGCACCACTGGCTGGAGCTTTGTTTGGATTTGTTATTGATACAAAAACCAGATTCTCAGTGTTGTCCTCCAGGAAAGATAGATGCAGAGGTCACAGGGCACCGTCAGAAGATATGCCGAGCTCAGTTTAAGAAGTCCACACCAGATCAGGAATTTATCTTCTGATAGTGTACCTCCCAGCCTTATCCATATGTATGCCTTGTCATAACTATTTGGAATCTTAACCATTTTTCATTTAGAAAGTAGTTTTCCAGAGTGATTACAAAACCAAGCTTTTCAAAAATTCTTAAAACTTGTTATTCACACTCCTCTACCAAAGAAGTTATAATGGAATATAGTAGAATTAGCTTCATTTATGCCCAGGTGTAAGGCTTTCTTAAACATAAGGTATTCACCATTTTTCAATACGAAGATTTAAAAAACATGTTTCATGGCCAACTTGAATAAGTAAATGTTTAGGAATATAGGAGGAGAAGTCAAGTGTCTACTTAAAATAGTTTTCCTTTATTTACACATTAATATATAAAATCATATTAGTATATAAAATTAATATTGTTTTTTCCTAAACACACATATCAATAAATACTCAAATTCTCCATAAGAATTTTGAATCAGTTTCTTGATCGCCACTTACTCCACTCTTTGAATCAGCTGTTTACATGGTTTTACAAGAGTATAGCATCTTCATTTTTATCCCAAGCTCGCAAAACGAAGCACTTTTGGACTCCGGGTACAGTATCTTCCTTGGAAGTTTTATCCCACAGACACAATGTTAGGATGTTTTCTTTTTTCCTCTTCCCAGTTCATCTTGAATGGATGTAACTGGTCCCATAATGTAACAACTTAAACCATATTGCTTTTTACTCATAGAGTGAACTTTCAATGCCTTGCTTTGACGTTCAACACAGCGTCTGTGAGATCCTACCCCCGGGATCTCCTCTCCTACCTTTTTACCCTTTTTTTTTTTTTTAACTTAACTTTTGCAGGTGACCTTGGTAAACATCCAGTGTTAGTAGTAATTGAGGTCATTTCAGGCAAATCTGCCTTTCCCAAATGGGACTTGGTACTTCTCAAGGTCAAGTGATTGGAAGCGTACCCCATGATCTGAGACTTTGTAAAGATCAAATATAACATGACATGCTTTTTTCTGAGGTTAGCTTTAAGGGAGTGGGGGAGGGCGAACCTTGGCTTATATGTAGGGGTCTGTGGTGTTTGGGAATAAACATGCTGATTTTTAAAAGCAGCACTTAAAAGGTTCAATCTGTGATTGTGCAGTGGACACAGTGTTCTAGCTATTTCATTGACCCATTTTCAGCTGTAAGAAATAAACAGTGTTGTCATGAGGCATAGCATTGATCAATCTGAAGGAAAATCATCTGCTTTTCTAAATTTGGGGGCTCTTGCAGACTAGAACACGATGTCACAGCATGTCATTTTGACAAGATGCCAAGCAGTCTTTCAACAGGTTGTCTGGTAGAAAACACTTAGGTACTGTGGCAATGGCTGCTATTGAAATGTCTAGATGGATAAAATGGTACAAACTTGTTTGCTGACACACAGAAACAGAGACTGTTAAACTACCTGCAAGTGATACAAGACTTGAGACTTAGCCCTTTTCATCTTCACAGTATTTCATAATCGTAATCCTCTTTAACACCCCCTGGAAGTCGTTGGTCTCCTGATTTTGTAGTTAGGAGAACAGAGGCTGCCAACGATAGTATCTGAGCTGAAATTGAGGCTCAGAAGTTTCTTGTTTCCACTTTTGTGCTAAAATTGCCTTCCTGAAATGAGCAGGATTGCTCAAGTTTGAGCAAGAGACCTCTCCCATATAAAGTTAGTTTAATTACTAGCCTGGTGTTTTAATCTAGTTCAGAGGCATTCCACAGAGCTTGGTGCTGCTTTGGGTGCATTGGTAATTACCAAGTGAAGTTGCTAACACACTGAGCTTCTGGAAACTTCTATGCATTGCAAGAGAGTGACCTGGCAGTCCCCTGCTTTCTGCTGGTCTTGGGTGTCATCTGCTAAATTCACTGAGATCTGTGAACCCAGACTTCACTGAGCAGAATTCACCTCTCTGTTCAGCGTGGTTGGTCTTTCTTACCTCCCTAGCTTATGCTCATTTATATTATCCCAGCTTCCGGCCTCAGGTTTGGTTTCCTGTGACGCTCTACTCCAGGATCACCTACCTTAACCCACCTCTCCATGTCAGAAATCACTTCAGCAATTCGAGGTCCATCCTTTTAGGGGCATCACGCCTTTAGCTTTGCTGTGTAGTTTGCTCTGTTTTTGATTCCGGATAGCACTTTTTAGTAATAAAGCTTTTTACTGTTTCTTGTTGTGCTTGGGTAGAAAAATGCAAATGACCTGAAGTGACCTGATACTTTTAAACCTGGTAGGTGTCCCTCCACGTGGATCTTTAAAAAGAGGACTGCAGTCCTAGTTTTAGTTGGGACAGATAATCTTCAGTTCTCTTTCCTGGGGTCCTTTTGTGTGCGCTTGTTAACATGACAATGCCAGACCCAGGAGGGGGGCATTGTTGGCCCTGCCTTGTGTGTTTAGGCCTGCAGTGCTTCACCTCACCTAAATTGGACTTAACCTGGTGGCCTTCTATTTTTCTCCTGAATTGACTTGCAAAATACCCTACTATTCTGTGACTTCCCAGTAAATGGTAATTAGAATACGTGCCTTAGAAATACATTTACAACTGAAAAAAAAAAAAGTGGATGTGGTAAACATTTCACATTCCTGAGGTTAGAAATAGTTTGGAGCAGATATAGTGAAGGCTGTAAACAAAAGACCCCTCTTTTGGTAACATTTAGAAATGTCTGAAAGAAAGTAAAATTCTCTCTCTACCCCTTACTGCTCCAGTCTCTCTTCAAAGGATAACCACTGCTTATGTGTATATATAAATATATATATATATATATATATATATATATATATATATATATATATATATATATATATCTTTAAGAAAAGAAAAACTTTCTACTAAGATCAATATTTATCTTTCCTCCCCCTTTCCTTTCTTTCTCTCTGTGTATCACAAATTGTACCCATATCAGTATCAATCTCGTGTATGCATGTTTTAACAAAAATAGAACCTTTCTAAGCACACACTATATCTTAAAGCTGTTTCCTCATTTTATTTTAATAGCTGTATAAATTTAAAAAAAAATTTTTAAAGCAGTTTGCTACTGATGGGTATTTATGTTGTTTCTTGTCTGGGGATATTACAAGCAATGACAGAGTGAACATCCCTGCATATATTTTGACATAATGTTGTGAGTATATATATGAGTCCCAATGATAAATTCCTGGTAATGAAATTGTTAGGTCAGGGGGCATGTGCATTTTTTAGTGTTAATAGAATTTTGTCAAATTACACCAGTTTATCAATTTTATCTTGGTAACACATAAGTGCATGAGACTAGTGTCTTGATTTAGCAGCTTTAAACACTATATCTATTTTTATGAGCTCATAGCTCCACATGAAGAAAACAACCGTTGCGTCATTACGTTGAGGACATGGTGCCATGCTAATTCTCTAACACCAAAGGGACAGTGTATGCTTTACAACCACCACAGTGGGTAGTTCTCCCCTCCTTCTTGGCCCACATTTGACTTGCATCTGGATCTCTGGGAAAACCTCCTCATGGGGTTTCTTCATTTTGACTTCTGACTCTCCCAAATCTTGTTTTGTTCCCACAGTCGCCAGATTGATTGATCTATTTAAAATGTAAATCAGATTAATTATTCACACAACACACTTCCATGGAGAGCTGACTGTGTGCCCTGTTCTAGCCATTTAGGATGTGGCTGTGAAGTCCATGGACCTGCTCACAGTTTGGTGGGTAGAAAAAGCCAGCCATCAAGAAAACACAGTAATACCTTGGTTTGCGAGCATAATTCGTTCCGGAAGCAAACTACTACTCTTATTGCAAGATATCGCTTGTTTACCACGTTAAAATATACTTGATTTGCATTAAAATGTAGATAATTTGTTCTAGAAACAAATTACTCATATTGCAAGACATCGCTCGTTTACCAAGTTAAAATGCATTAGAAATATTTGCTCGTCTTGGGGAGTGCTAGCAAACCATGTTAACTCAGAATCCAGGGTTTTACTGTACACAATATCAGGTGGTGTTAAAAAGCTATGAAGAAGAAGAAAGGCTGGGTAGGCTGAGGGTATGGAGAAGGGCCAAGGCAGGTTGAAATTGGAGGGGGTACATTTCAATGGGGTGGTCAGGGAAGACCTCTCTGATGAGATGATATTTGAGCAGAAACCAAAGCAAATGAGGAATTAGTGTGCCCCTGCAGAAACTGTGTCTCCCTGGTGAGAAACTATCCAGCAGCCTCCTGCTGAGCTCAGGACAGAACCCCAAGTCCTTCACTGCTGGCCCTGTCCTCTGCACCCCCCATTTTGTACCACCTTCTCCTCTGTTGGATGCACTGACTGCCTCTCCTTTCTTCAGTACTCCAAACTCATTTCCTCTCGCCTTTCAGCCTGTCTAAAGGTCCTTCCCCTCACATCTTAGCTCCGCAGATGCCTGCTCACAAAGGCGACCATGTCATCACTGTCATATCCCCTCTTCCTGTTCTTTACATAGCACCCAGCACCACCTGATACTTTTCTCTGTGTGTACATCTCCCTAATCTAGAGTGCATTTGGATACCAGAGACCTGTCTTTTCCACACTGTTTGTAACAGTTTCTGGCA